TCTGTAAGAGTGTGTGTAGAAATTCAAACAAAATTTTTCAATTTGATATCAGAAGCCGTGCGGCGAAACACATACACAAAATCAGCTGAGCTAGTAACACCGCCTTATATTAATTCGCCTTGTTCGCTACTATCTACCACTACCAGCAGTTGCTTTTGCTAGTACTTCCAAAAAAGCTGCTTGATTTGTTAATTCGCCGGAACGTTTCGCTGTCTGCCTGCCTGCCTGCCTATCTGTCTGCCGCGAAGTCTCAACGTTAGCCTGCAAATTTCGGCGCTCACTGCCCTGCAGGAACACTGTCGGTCATATTACTTATCATCTGCCCGGTAGTACTGACAAAATTTCCGGTTAGAGCGTAGTGTCGAGTTTCTATCAGATTTTTAAAGGCAAAGTGCATTTTCTGACCGAAATTTTCATGTACGTGTGATCGCCCATCGCTTTTCAACACATACAATTTCCAGCTTACCAGTCGTATCGCTATTTCGCTTACTCATGCCAGCAGTGACCTTCAATTCTATTAGAACTGACCGATCAGCTGATTGTCGGACTTGTCAGTTCTGAAGGAATTATGCATCAGAGCTGATCGATCAGCTGATTGTCGGACTTGTCAGTTCAGAATGAATTATGCGTCAGCGCTGACCGATCAGCTGATTGTATGACTTGGAATTTCTGAATGAATTATGCGTCAGCGCTGACCGATCAGACCTGACTCGATTATTAGTCAGAACTGATGTAAAATCTAGGCAGCTCTGATGTAAATACCCATATTTGATGAATAAAAATTAAAATTTATGCATGTTTAATTATTTTATTAATAATAAATTCTTAAAAAAAGGAATATAATTTTAAATATGTACACATATATAACAGGCGACAAATGAAAGTGTACGCCTTGTTCTAATAAATATTTACGATTATTTTCATGAACAATTTTTTTGCATTGATTATTTATGAAAATATAGTTCATTCTATAATATAAACCATATAACTCAAAGTTTCATATTATAGTTTATATAAATATTATATTATATATTATATTAGAACCAAAAATTAAAAATATTCAGAATTCATTTACATAAAAAAAATTTTGAAAATTTGTATGAAAAAAATGTAGTACTAATTTATAAAGCGGCCCCCTAAAATGTCACAAAGTGACGGATATAAGAATTAATTTTTGCATTTTATACAGTTTGTATCCAAACATATCGAGCCCTATCTGCAAAGAAACGTTTTTTCAACATTTTCTTTTTCATGGATAAATGCTCTTAAAGCATCTAAAGTTAGCTTAAGTTTTATCGGCGGTTTAGAAGGTTTTTTTTTAATTAAACACTTAGTTAAATATTTCTGTAATTGCAATTGCTGGGAAACTTTTTTTACGAATTTCATGAAACTTTGTAAAAATGTAGCCGTCTTACTTTTCTATAAACTAGATATTCAGCCTCATTGCGTAAGTCGTAAATTATGCTAAATTGTACGACTCGACAACATTGGCATTGTCTACTGTCGTGGCGAAATAAGTAAACGACGAAAATCGTCGAAAAATATGCAGTGCTGCCAAGTTTTTCCGTATTAATACTCTAGTCGAGTGGAAATTTTAGGCAATGACGTGAAATTATTGATACGATTGGAATCTTATTCAATAGTTAATATCTAGTTTTTAGATAGGCAAGACGCTTACATTTTCACAAAAGTTTCATGAAATTCAATTCGCAGCAATTGCAATTACAGAAATATTTAACGAAAAATATTTAACAAAGTGTTTAATTAAGAAAAACGTTTTAAACAGATTTTCAACTTCTGCAAAGTATTTTTCTGGCATATACACATATCTAGGCTTAACCGCAGATAGGGCCCAATATATTAGGATACAATCTGTGTTGAATGCAAAAATTAATTCTTATACCTTTGTGACATTTTAGGGGGGCCGCTTCATAAATTATTACTCAAATGTGGAACTTATTAATACGAGGAAAAGTAAACTTAAAATTACATAAATTAATCTATTATTTCTTAGATTTATTAAGCTGGTACTTTTTCTGCTTCAATCGGTGATGGCTAAGCTCGATTGACCTTTTCACCGCCTTTTGAAAGTCATACGATGCCTGTGTTTTAAAAACATCTACATAAAGTAAAAAAGAAAATATTAATAACCAAATATTTACTTTCAATAGTAGACGCAATTTACCTCGCAGACAGATCTCGACTAATTTTAATTTGCAAAGAGCCTGTTTCTCCCACCTGCCATCCCAATTAAAATTCAGTAATAGTTCGTCAGTGAAAATGTATTTCAATACCGTAGAGACGTCTTCGGATGCTCCTTTCAATTTGTGGAAGTACGTTATCTATAGAAAAATGCATCGAAAGGAAGGTATGAGAATTTTAAGCTTGAAAGAAACCAAGCTTCATTACCATTGCTTGAGCGTATTCCGGACGATTCATAATTTTGTCCTCAATATCACTGACGGAAGTAATTGAATTGATTGGAAAACTGCTCGCCACCTCATCTAAAATTTGGTCTCGTACCTCGCCAGTCATACGTCCAATTGACAGTTCAATCTTTTGCAAAGTCACTTTGCACTCTCTCAGGATTTTGTTTTCTGCCAACATTTCCGACTTATTAACCATCTATTGGGAAACATTTGTTATCAATTAAAACATAAAATATACAGTGGTGGGAAAATGAATTTATACATAGGAACGCGATATTTAAATAAGTTTCGGCTGTTTTTCCTTTGTTTATTCAATGTTTATTTTTTTTATAAAAGTATGGTATAACATTAAATAAACAAGAAAAATAAATGCAGCATTTTTTCGAGAAAAGAAAACGCTATTAGTAATAAAAAAAAACTCACCTTCTCGACAAGTTCTTCGACTTGGCGGCTAATTATTTCCTGGTTTTTTTGCAGGACAACTTGCTAATGAAATGCATACATATCGAACATTGACAACATAAATTATGGCAAGAAAAGGCATTTATCGGATAAATGTCACTGTGGCCGATGTGATATAAGTATGAAAACGGAGATGCTATTACTTACATTAGTTTCGATCGTAGCCAAACGTAGGGTTATGACTTCCAAGGCATCCAGAATCTCTGCAGATAATATCGTATTAAGTTTAGCGATAATTTTAGCAGAAACAAACCTTTATTATCGGGTCTCTGTTGCCCATTTCTGCTTTCCTCCCTAACCTCCATCACTTCGTCGGAAGTTGTTTCATCAAAGCATCTTCTGACAATTGCAGGCTGGTTCGCTGAAAAGTGAGAATCATTAAATTATATATATATGCATATGTACACTTTTAAGGCATTTCACTTACCATTTAATTGGGTTTCATCAACGAAGGACTCGTCCAAAATAGAGTTGCTAGAATTCATGTGCAATAATTTCATGTTTTTTGCAATTACTTAAACTATAATTATCGGTAATTTGTTAATTATGAATGTGTGGTAAAGTTAAAAAAATCGTGAAACAAATGGTGCAGCAGGGGTATTAACAGAAACTTGCCACCAAACGGAATACAAAAATATTTATATTTTATATCTTTGAAGGCAATTTGAACTGTTTCAATGGCCAAATCACTTGCTACAACTATGCCCAAACTCGTGGATGAATGAAGAGGTTCAGTAAAATAGTCTTCGATTTTTTGAAAAGCTTTACAAATAATTATATCCGATTCCATTGATTTTATGACATCCACAACCTTAATAGGCCCAATTTTCTCACAAAAACAATAACTATCTTTATCTTTTTTATCACTGATAGTAAAGGAACCAAAATTATTGCAACTTGATTCATACCCCTGCCTTTCTTTAAGTCTCAAAGACAATTGCTGAAGAATGTTGCTTGGGCTTTTAATAATTTTTTTTAAAAATTGCATATAATTTCCAAATCTATATGCTGAATAAGAATCTAATGGACCGAGTTTTTTTACCGAATCAGATAAGTGAAGCAGACCATGAATATTAAAACTAACTTGTTCGTCGCCATATAAGTTACCAAAAAATTTGACAAAATCTTCTAAAATTTTTTGAGCAACGACTGTGTCTTTATTAAGTGACTTTTCATTTGAAAGAAGTCTTATTCCACTGTGAAGCAATAAAAAATGGTAGTATGAATCATAGTTAATATTACCTTTCAAAACAAATATACCTGTATAAAGGAGAAATTGC